TTTATCTTTTTAAACATAAATTCCACTCGCTCCTTTTCAGAGAGGGTTGTGCATTCCACTCTCTACTGTAATGTTACGTTATGCACTTTAGCTGCCCTTCTCTAGTGAAAGAAACTTCTGAACAATATTCATGTGAAAGCTTTTCATTATTTTTTTTTCTTTTTTTCAAAATGAGTTACCCAATAATTTCTACAATTAACTTATGGTCTGTAAATTGTGCAAAATACATAAGCAGTGTTAATCTACAGGTGAAATAGCGTGTTTTTGTTTCCTTATTTGATGAGTGCAAATAATTTGAAATATCATTTGTTACATAAACTCTGTATTATAACTTGGATGTTTTCTAATATTCATTCAAAGATTCTTTTCATGAATGTGTTGCCAAGAAATTGTTGTGATGTTGTAGCTATGATGGTCCAGAAATTATGCAAGGACCAAGGATTTCTTAGGGTGATTGGATCAACTAAGAAGTTGGGATAAAGTTAGACAAGCTTTTGAATGCCAGACATTCTTCCTCAGGTCTGACACAAGGAGCCACACACAGCATAGTAAAAAAACAGCAGTGGGAGCAGGCAAGAGCAATTCCCAGGGGTAGCAGACACAGAATTAGCAGAAGAAAAGAAGATGATTACTTGTGATCAAGGCCTATCAAAAGGGAGGAGGGTCATTTTCACCTTTCATGTGTGGAAAGAGCTCAAGAGTCATGTAGAATATAACGTGCTATAAAACCCATGAACGATGCATGCCCCTGGCGGCTGCGGGGACATGGTGGTGGTGGGAGCATGGCGGTGGTGATGGGAGTGTGGCAGTGGTAAGCTGGGAGCTCCTGCAGATGCTGTCGGTGGTGAGGGGTGGGGGTGGCGAGCTGCGAGTGCCAACCAGGGGTTGGCGACCACTGCAGACACTGCCGGCAGTGTCTGCAGTGGCCAGCGGCGATCACTGACTGCCCACATACGCCACCAGTGGTGTTGGCGGCAGGGGTGGGAAGTGGCGACCTCCCGCAAGCGCTTCCACCACTGTCAGCAGTGCCTTTTTGTAGGGAGTGCACCACCACGCTCAGGGGGTGCACGTGTACCCGCATGCATCCCCTACACATCACCAGTGATATCATGCCTTAAGTTGTCACCCAGTTACATGTTCAACCAATTAATGGCATGATAAAATAAGCAATAAGCTACAAAGGTATTCCACAAAAAATGTGTAATAACTTTGTAGTTTGTTCTAATCACACCATTAATTGAAGGTGTGACCAAGTGTTCTCCTGTGGCTAGGAGCCCCATCAACTGAGTGGCTTCCAGCCACAGGGGTGCACCATCTGCTGCCAGCCCCACAGCTGACAAGACTTATAGGGGCAGCAGCATTCCAAGCACTGGCCCTACTATGAGCCTCATCAACTGTGGGGGAAAACGCTGCTGTTGCTATGAGCCTTGTTGGCTGCAGGGCTTGCTGTTGTGGCAGTGGGGAGAATGGTGCTGCTTCTGTGAGTTTTGTGAGGTGCAGGGCTTGCAGCGGGGTGAGTGCAGGGAATGCTGCCCATGCTGTAAGCCCTGTCATCAGGATCCCAGGCTCCCCCTGCACTGGCAATAAGGGGTGATGGGATCTAATACACAATCCCACAATGGTGTCCCTTTCCATGAACATGTGGTATGGTAGGAGGTGCAATTGTGTAAATCATGCATTAGATCCCATTGTGCCTTTACCTGAACATGTGGAGGGGCCCACAGTGTCCAGCCAGCTTATGAATTTTTGTTCCCAAATTTGTCTTTTAAAGGTACTAGGAAGATTTCCCTTGAGCGTGAAGAGAGTGAGGTCAGAGAGGGAATGGTTGTTCTGTAAGAAATGTACTCCTAATGGTGTGTGTGCGCTTTATATTTCTTCTGTGAGAGTTCATTTTGATGCATGGTTGCTGTTTTAGCAGCCATGTACTTGACACAAGGGCACTTGGTGCACTGGATCAGATATATAAATTTTGGGAAACGCAAGTATAGGAACCATGGATTCTGATAGTTTTGTTATAGTGCGTGTTGATAGTTGGAGCTGTGGAGATATGCTGACAGATCAATCATTTCTTGTCAAGGCAAGGTTGTGTCCCATTTGATGTCTGGGCAGTGGAGAGTTTGCTTCTTGTTATGAGTTGGGCAAGGATAGTGGGCTGTTTGAAAGCCAGGAGCAGAGGGGCTAGCAATATCTCTCTCAAGGTCTGATCTTTGTCGAGTGTAGCCTGTAGTTTGGTGATTATTCTGATTGATTCTGGTATGGTGTGGTAGATGACCACCATGAGCATGCAGTCACAGTGGTTTTTCTATTTGGATTATAGCAGGTTCCCACAGGGTATTTGGAAAGCTCTTTCAGATGTACAGTCTAATTCTCTACTTGAGAGTCACTGTTGTATATAGGCAGATTTTAAGCTGTTCAGGTAGGCATAATGAGTGATCTCCTCTGAGCAGATGCAGTGATAACTGAGGGCTTGGCTGTAGATTAAAACATTTTTGGTGTGCTTAGTATGATTGCTGGTCTTGTAGGCATAGGTAAAGTGGTCTGTGGGTTTTCTGTATATAGTGGTTTATAGGCGACATTGTGGATATGGATTGTGGTATCTAAAAAGTTAATGTTAATGTAGGAGTATTCCAGAGCAAGTTTGATTGAGGGGTAATAGTTGTTTAACATGTGGTAGAAGCGAGTTCAGGTGTTTAGTTCAGATAATGAAAATATCATCTATCTACCACAGGTATAGTGCAGGTTTGATGGTTCAGTTTTCTAGAAACTTTTCCTTCAGGAGGCTCATGAAGAGGTTGGCATATTGGGGGACCATCTTTGTGCCCATCACTTGAAGCAAGTGGTGATTGTGCAAGTGAAGTTGTGGATGAGAATGAGGTGGAGTTTTTATGCAACATGTGGTTGCAAATCTGAGTGTACTCCATGTTCTTGAAGGTATTCCAGGCTGTCAGGTGTGCCTTCCTTGTGTGAGATGTTAGTGTACAGGCTGGTGTCATCCATGGTTGCGAGTATGGCTGTCTCAGGGAGGTAGTTAATGTTCCAGTCTGCTGAGGAAGTCTGTGGTGTCTTGTAGAAACCTTGCTTTTTGAATGACAAGTGGTTTTAGGATAGTTTCTTTGAATCCTGATAGCTGTTCAATGAGGGTACCACAGTTGGATACAATGGGTCTGCCAGGGTTGCTTTGTTTGTGGATCTTTGGGAGCATGTAGAAAGTTTCTGGAATGGGAAATTGGGGGATAAGTGAAGTAGTTTGTCCTGAAGCTTGTGTGGGAAGGATTTGATGATAGTTTTCAGTTCCAGAGTGAATTCTGGTGTAGGGTCTTCCCTGGGTTCTTTATAGTATTTGGTGTCAGCAAGCTGTCTGTTGGCCTCATTGATGTAGTCTTGACAGCTGAAAATGACTGTAGCTCCATCTTTGTCCGCTGGTTTGATTCCTATTTCATTACTGGACCTTAGAGACTTTATGGCTTTTCTCTCAGAGGGAGAGAGAGGTTGTTGTGGTCCTGGCTTTTACTGAGAATTTTGCCATTAGCTTTCTTCTTGAAACAGTCTATGCAGTAGTCTCAGTGTATGGTTATGTCCACTGGGAGGTGTCCAGTTTGATGTTTATTATTGCTTGTTTTTTCAGTTTTGGCAGGAAAGCTGTTAGAGGTGGTTATATCCCAGTTGACAATAAATCTAATTTATTTAAAGATTTATAGAAAATAAATATTAGAGAGGGGCAAATAAGTGATTATTAAATACCTGCAGTATTTTTTCAGTGTTTAGTTAGCTATAGAACATTTTTGTTTGACACCATTTTAACTTTGTTATGTTTAAATAAAATGTGATTTTTTTTTCACCCCGACTCAGTTCTTTGTACAGTGTAGATTAGCCCTAAAATGCTACCTAGCACTTAAGAACATAGGAAATGGAAACAAAATGTCAAAAGAATCTGGCCGAAAGTTAAAATGCCTGCCTATGATTTCACCTGTTTCAGCATTACCAAAGACACCGAGAATTGGCTCTGCTTACAAAAGCATCCTCTTTTAGGAGACAAATCCAAATGTTTTAGATTTCAGTATTCAGAGGAAACTGTCAGTAATGTAACAATGAGTGCGTGTGTGGGGCATGAGCCCCATGCTCTGTTGAAGGGGTAGGGGCCACTGTAATGGAGCCGAGAAGGCTCCTCACTCCCCCATCCCCTATGCAGCTCCCCCTTGCACCTCACACCTTTCATGCAGCAGCTCTGGCTCCTGCATCAGAAGGGCTGAGATGCAGCAGTAGTGTCTGCTGTGGGAGTAGAGCTGGTGCTTCACTGTTGCTAGTGATGTCACCTTCTTTATTTGCCATGGAAAACCAATGGTTTTTTTAGCTGCTCAATGCACATGTTGGCAGCAAAAAAAGGAGGTAACATCTCCGCTAGCAGGTACAGCATGTGCACTGCTGCCCGGGTCCAGGGCTGGCCTGGTAAAACCTATCTGGAAGCTGAACTTCATACTATATATTTTTTTTCTAGGTTTTTAGTGAACCACTCTGGGATTTTTTTTTAAATGTAAAATGTAGTTGTTGTGGACTTTAATGTTTGAAAGACAAAAAGTAACATTTTAAAAAGTACCTGTTGAATTTGGATGTTTAGTCCCATTGTTTTCAATAGCACTTGGTTAGGTGCTTCTGAGAATTTTACTCAAAGCCATTAACCAGCCTTCCAACAGGTAAACAGGAAGCTACTTCTTCATCATTAATATTATTTTCTAATCTTATTGACCTATATATTAGTACAGTATGTCGGCACCAAATACAGTTTTCAAGCAATCATGAAGTTACCTTTTTCAATCTATGCTGACAGATGTTGATGTTGTCCAATCCTTACCAGTTTTCATTTAAAATAAAGGGGAAACAGCAAAGAAATTCTAGACTTTTTTGGTAGTGTAACCCAGAATATCAAAGATGCTAATAATATCTACTAGCTCTGGGTTGCTTAATTTAGCACAATTAGCTTGATTTATTGACTTATTTTTCAGGTACATGAAAATGGCAAGGACACGGGGGAGATCCTTGTTTATGTCAACAAACAAGAAATAGAAAATTGCAGGAATCAACCCAGTGCTCTGATGGAGAGAGTAAGTTAATAGCTACTTTTTAGGTTCACATACTAGCAATCAACATTTGGAATGTAAAGGTTTAGGTCTTTATTAAAAAAGGTTGATCTTCACAGTTTTGGCTTTTGAGCATTGAGAATGCTATAGATCCTATGTATATTCTACTTTTACCTAAGACTTTAGCAACATCTCTCACTGTATTGTGCAGCAAGAGTTTACACCTCCCCCGTGCTCATATATAGACATTCGCCTACACTAATGATATACTGCTAACTGCACTCAGCATTCTGAGATACAATCCTGACAGTGACACACGCAGAGGACTCTCAGAAGAAGATTGACAACAGCATCCATGCAGCTGATCACAGTTAAAGGGAAACATATGGATTTCTTAATAATCCCTGCTTTTGCTGGCTTTTCTAGCCTTTAGATCATTAATGGTCATAACATGCTCTGCTGATCTTTTTTTATTTGCAGCCTGACTTTCAGTGGGAAACCAGCTGATCTATCTCTTGCAGTTATGCCCTTGGTTTTCTTTATGTAACCAAAGTATTTCTAGGAGATTCAATATATGCATCGCTGCCATCTTTTTGTCTGTGTGTCACCTAAAACATCATTTAACACTTTAATGTTCATCACTTGACATTTATGTCCAAGTTGATGACTTTTACTTCGAATTCCATTTCATTCTTTTTTCTAGTATAGTCTTTTGTTCTTGAAGTTACCCTTACACAGGGTGTCTCTGATGTGTAAGGGACAATAATTTTAGAACCCTACCAAGTCTTATTAGATTTTTTAGATGGAATTATAGAATCATAGAACTGGAAGGGACCTGTAAGATCATCAAGTCCAGTCCCCTGCCATGGGCAGGAAGTTATTGGGCTCAGATGAGCTCAACAAGGGGCCTGGCCAGCCTCATCTTGAACACCTCCAAGGAGGGTGACTACACCACTTCCTCTGGGAGTGTGTTCCAGATTCTGGTGACCCTTACAGAGAATAAGTTTTTCCAAACTAAATTTACCTTCTGTTAGTTTATGCCCATTGGTCCTTATCCTCCCTTGAGGTGCCCTCCTGAATAGTTGATCTCCTAGTTCTTGATGCTCCCTTCCCCCCGATGTGCTTGTAGGCACCTATCAAGTCACCTCTCAGCCTTCTCTTCCTCAGGCTGAACAGGCCCAGTTCCTGTTGGACCTGAACTTAATTAGTGCCTAATTACATGCTTAATCAGCGGCTGTCTCCCATGTCCACTCTTCAATGGGGGTGGGTTTTGACCCCAGCCTGGCTAACATATTAACCAGGGCATATCTAGTCACCACCCAGTTAATCCGGCAATTAATTACACTATGACTAATAAGGACACTCACACAGATGTATAAGGTCTAATGAATTAAATGATTTATTAAGTAGTAAACAGGAAGATAGATAACAGGTAAGTAATAAATCACAAGCCCAGTCCCTTATTTAACTAACAGCTCTTAACCACCACTAACAATCCTATTTAAACCTATTAAAACCTACACTTATGATAATAGCCTTATCTAATTACCCTTATAAAATAGTACGATTCTCTCTTCCCACATCCCTAAAAGACCCAGATGGGCTTAAGTTAGACCCGGACAAGGGTGGGCTGCAAAACTTTATTAAAGGAGAGGGGAAACCTTATTAAGTTCATAGTGTCGTCTTCTCTGGTTATACAAGCGTAATCTACACCTCAGATTGTTCTCCTGGCTTTACCACCGAGTGGCTCAGAGCCAAGAGGGGAGAAGGAGGGGATGGGTAATACTCACTAAGGAGAGTAGAGGGCCACTAACTTAAGTGACAAGCACACCTGGATGAAAAAGAAAACCCTGGGAACCAACCCTATCTATTCTCATCAGGAGACAGAGGATCCTCAATGATGGAAACCTATGTTTCTGCACAGGCAACTGGGATTGGCATGGTGAATCTCCATGATCCACTCACCCAATCAGTCACTACTGTACTGGCTGTTGCTCAGTCTATCACCTTCACAATACACCATACAGTCTCCTTCAATTTCTCCCTCATACCACACACCATCACATGTACACACAGACACACCCCCTCAGTCCCACTTTCACTCATACACTCATGCCCTCAGTCACGCACCATCTGTCAATCCGAAGGGTTTTTTATATGGGTTGTGCACTCTATCCTCAGGGCTGTGCAAGCAGCACATTGGTATTCATACGGCATTTCAGTCCAGCCTCCATACAAGTAGCTGTAACTCTCCCCTTAGAGGGTGAGTCAGATAGATGTCATCTGTTGACCTACTTAAACCCAGACATAGGACCAGATAATCTCAGCCTGATCTCAGGCCTGATTCTCTCTCAACATTCCTGGAGTCTCTCCACATAGGGCCGGCCCTTCATGCCCTCAACCAAACTGGTGGCCCTTCTTTGTTCCCTCTCAAGCTTATCCACATCCTTGTTGAAGTGCGGTGCCCAGAACTGGGCACAATACTCCAGCTGAGGCCTCCCCAGTGCTGAATAGAGAGGGAAGAATATCTCCCTGGATCTATTGGTCACACATCAGCTAATGCACGCCAGAGTTTTGTTTGCCCTTTTGGAAGCCTCAATGCACTGTTGGCTCATATTCATCTTCCAGTCGATCATGACCCCCAGGTCTCATTTAGATGCTGTGCCAGCCAGTGGACCACTGCCCATTGTATATATGTGGTGGGGGTTTTTCCTACCCAGGTGAAGGACCTTGCACTTCTCCCTGCTAAACCTCATCTGATTTCATTCCACCCATAAATCCAGTCTGTCATGGTCATCCTGGATCTTTGCCCTATCCTCTGGTGTGCCTGTGTTTCCCCACAGCTTGGTATCGTCTACAAACTTAATCATTGCACTTTCCACCCCCTTATCCAAGTCATTAATGAAGATATTGAATAGCACAGGTCCAAGTATGAATTCCTGGGGGATGTCACTGTAGACAGCCCTCCAGGATAAAGCCATCCCATCGATCATCACTCTCTGGGAGCAGCTTCTAAGCCAGTTGTCCACCCACCTCACTCTAGACTCTAGCCCGGTACTCTCCGGTTTGTTAGATGAAATCCCATGAGAGACAGAGTCAAAGGTTTTCCTGAAGTCTAAGTAGATGAAGTCAACCTCATGTCCCTCATCCAGATGGTTAGTTACCTGATTGTAGAAGGACACAAGGTTCATCAGACATGATCTACCCTTGACAAAGCCATGCTGGTTGCTTTTTAGCACCCCATCCACTACCAGCTTGTAGTTGATGGCTTCCTTGACTAAATTTTCAAAGATTTTACCCAGGACCCAAGTCAGACTGACTTGTCTGTAGTTTGGAGGATCATCCTTCTTCTCTTTCTTAAAGATGGGCACCACACTGGCCCTCTTCCAGTCATCCCAGACCACTCCCAAGTTCCACAATTCTTTATACAGCTTGGCCAGTGGCACTGCTATAAGTTCAGCCTGTTCTTTCAGGACTCTTGGGTGCAGGTCATCAGACCCAGCAGACTTTAAAAAGTCCAAGCATTGTAGGAGGTCCCTCACCTGTTATGGGCTGATTTCATGTAGGCTGTTACCTTCCCCCTGTTTCCTGGGCCTCTGGTCAGGTGAGCAGCCCCCCATTGGGTTTCAGCATTACCAATGTAAAGTATGTATTTAGGAGTTCTGCCTTTTTGTGGGCATTGACTATGGGCTGCCCCTGGATATTCAGCAGGGGTCCCACAGTGGAGCCCAATTTTTTCTTGCTCCCTATGTGTCTGTAGAAGTACTTTTTTTTGTCTTTTATACTGGTTATCAGTTTGATCTTCATGCCTGCCTTAGCTTTCCGTGTCTCATATCTGCAGGCCATGGCGATACAGGTGTATACCTCCCTGGTTGCTGAGCCATTCCTCCATTGCATATACACTTCTTTTCTTCTTTTTCAATAGCTCCCTAATATCCCTAGTGAGCCAAGAGGGTCTCCTGGCTCCTTTCCTGCTTTTTGCCTGCATGGGGATCGCCTGTTTTTCAGTAGTGAGAATTGCTTCCTTAAGGAAGCACCATCATTCCTGCACTCCTAAGTCACCCAATTGCCAGTTGCAGGATACTTCTCCAGTGAGCCTCTTGAGTTTACCAAAATCTGCCTTCTTGAAATTTAGGACTTCTGTTCTGGTGACTAACTTCCCAGTCTTACAGTAGATGGTGAATCTTCCCAGCAGATGTCTGGGTAGTTGAAGTTACCCATGATGATCATATCTCTAGTGCTAGATGCCTCGATCAGTTCTCCTAAGAATGCTTGATCACTCACCTCCTCTTGGGACGGGGCTTGCAGTAGAATCCCACCATCACGTCTCTCTTTTCTGGTTCCCCTTGTAGCCTCATCTAGAGGGTCTCAAGGGACCCTTCCCTGCTGTCAAAGGTGACCTACAGGGACGGGTACTGCTCTTTCATGAAGAGAGGTGTGGCCCTCTACTTCCCAAGCCCATCCTTCCTATAAATTCTGTAACCCTCAATATTTACTGCCCAGTCATGTGTATCATCCCACCAGGCCTCCGTCAACCCAACCAAGTTGAATTCTTCATCAGCCAGAAGGAGTGTCAGTTCCTCCTGTTTGTTTCCCATGCCTCTAGCATTCCCATAAAGGCATCTGAGCTCTCCCCTACCCACCTCAGGTTTTCTGTCATGATGTCTCTGCCTCAAGATGTCAGTACCCATCTGGACATCCGTTGTTTGAATGCCCTCCTGTTTGTCATTGTGGCTAGTGGATTCTGCTTCAGCAGTGGAACCTTCTGTCCAGCCCCCAGACATGCCTAGTTTAAGCTCTTCTCAACAAGTTGGCGACTCTTGTGGAGAAGAGCTTCTTCCCTCTGCTTGTGAGATGAATGCTGTCCCTTGCATGTAGACTGCTGTAGTTAAACTGCGTACCAAGGTCCAGTTATCCAAATCCCTTACAGTGACACCATCTTCTAAGCCTTTGGTTAACCTCCTAGATACACTCCTCCCTCCGATGGCCATGGCCCCCAACTGGGAGGACTGCAGAGAAGACAC